TACATTTTCATATATATATATATATATGTATAACGATAGTTGTATGCATGTGTGTGCGCGCGTCTAACGAAAAAAAACACACACAAACCCTTCGGCGTGTGTGAGACGTTTTCCCGTTTTCGTCGTCGTCGCCGTTGACGTCGTCATCATCGTTAGTCCCAAGGGAATTAAGATATTGAAGAACGTCGTGGTTAAGTAGAAGGGAAGCCCGTGCCCTTTGATCCCTCTCTGCCGGGGGGGGGTCCCGGGAACGGTCCCGAGGGGTCCCGGGTCAGAATACCATCCCACACAAGGGGTCCCAGAGCCCAAAAATGCCCAAGACGGGCCCAGTCCCCTAAGAGGCCCCCAAAACCGTCCAAGAGGGCCCCGAATCGCCGAACGGTCGGCACAAGACGCCCAACATAGCCTCCAGACAGCCCAAGAAGCTTCAAAGACGACCCAAGAAGCCTCCAAGAGCATTCCGACGAGGACCCCACGAGGCAAACTTCATTGATTTTGACTAGGTTTTTGACAGATTTGGGCGTTCTCGCCTCTTCGGCTTCCCGACGCTCCAAGACGGCCCACGAGGCTCCCAAAATCGCCCCAAGACGGTCCAAGAGGCCTCCAAAACGGCCCCCGGGAAGCCCCAAGAGGCCTCCAAGAGGCTCCCGAGAGGACCACAAGTGGCATCCAAGAGGATCCCAAACTGCCCCCCAGAGGCTCCCGGTTGCGCTCCGAAGAGAGCCCAAGAAGCATCCCAGAGGACTCTGACCCACGTCAGCGTCGTCGTCGTCGTCGCCGCCGCCGCCGCTGTCGTCGTCGTCAACGTCCCCCTTCAGGGTCGGCGGCACCGGCCGTAAGGCCTTCGCAACACAACATCTCTCTCTCTCTATACCTATCTCTCTTTACACCCCCCACGCACAAAAAAAAAACACATACACACGCTGACAATTATTTCTTGACGTGCACACATCTACCCATACTCATGTATATTGTATGAATCATCTACATATCTCTCTCTCTCTCTCTTTCTCCCTCTCTCCCTATTCAAAAGTCCCCCAACCTACCTCCCCCTCCGCCGTGCCTCATTCACACCCTCCGCCTACTCTTCGTTGGGAAATGAACGTTGCGCCCCCCCCCCGCCCCCCGATGGGGGTCAACCATCCCTCGTCAGCGCACTGCGCCAGGGGGGAGGATCCGCTCGCGAGGGGAGAAGGGGCGGGGGAGGGGGGGCGCCGCCTTCGGCGCGCGGTTTGCTCGTGGCGAAGGCTGTCGAGTTGGAGCTGTTGGCGCTCATTGTAAAGCTTGGAGTGCTCGTCCACCCCACCATCCCTAACCTGGACCTCTTCTGGCGCGCGCTCCGACACAGGACTTCAAGGCCAGCCGCGGCGGCGAGGGTCACACAGGAGCCCCCTCTCGTTTCACCCGTTTCGCTGAGAAGGTCGGCCCATACAATGCACAGCAGATCTCGCATTCCAGAGCCGACGGAGAAACTTGAGGCGGTAGACGCAACCTCGCCTCCAGTGGCTCGTGACCACGAGGGATCTGGCGTTCTGGCCAAGCATCCCCGACCGGCACAGCAGCCTGAGGGCGGCAATGATGCTTCACGCACCCCCACCCCACCCCAAAGAACCGATTCCCCTCCTCCCTTCCTCCTCCTCCTCCTCATCCTCCTCTCTCCTCCTCCTCCTCCTCCTCCTCCTCCTCCTCCTCCTCCTCTCCTCCTCCTCCTCCTCCTCCTCTCCTCCTCCTCCCTCTCTCCTCCCCCTCCTCCTCCTCCCTCCTCCCCTCCTCCCTCCTCCTCCTCCTCCTCCTCCCTCCTCCTCCTCCTCCTCCTCCCTCCCCTCCTCCTGTCCTCCTCCTCCTCCCTCCTCCTCCTCCTCCTCCCTCCTCCTCCTCTCCTCCTCCTCTCCTCCTCCTCTCCTCTCCTCCTCCCCTCCTCCTCCTCTCTCTCCTCCTCTCCCCTCCTCCTCCTCCTCCTCCTCCTCCTCCTCCTCCTCCCCTCCTCTACTCCTCCTCCTCCTCCTCCTCCTCCTCCTCCTCCTCCTCCTCCTCCTCTTCTCTCGCCTCCTCCCTACTCCCTACTCCCTCTCCTCTCCTCCCTCCTCCCCCTCCCTCCCTCCTCCCTCCTCCTCCCTCCTTCCTCCTTCCTGCGCCTCCTCTCCTCCTCCCCTCCCTCCTTCCTCCCTCCTCCCTCCACCTCTCCTCCCTCCTCCCCTCCCCTCCTCCTCCCTCCTCCTCCCTCCTCCTCCTCCTCCCTCCTCCTCTCCTCCTCACTCCTCCTCCTCCTCCTCCTCCTCCTCCTCCTCCTCCTCCCCTCCTCCTCCTCTCCTCCTCCTCCTCCTCCTCCTCCTTCTGCTCCTCCTCCTCCTCCTCCTCCTCCTCCTCCTCCTTCTCCTGCGGCAGCTCCTCACTCCTCCCTCGTCATCCCAGCAACGCGTCCGAGCGGGCCAGGCTCCTCGGGCTTGCTCCGGAGCGGCCACTCGTCCAGCAGTTCGAAGCGTCTCTTGTTCGCCAGGCTCTCGATCGACCGAGAGAGGGCGTGAAGTGATGAGTAGGGAAGGAATAGCAGGTGAAGGATGAGAACGGTTGGCCGAGAACGGTCGTGCAGGTTCGCGGGCCGCCTGAGAGGTGGCGATCCGCAGCTTACCAGAGAAGCTCAGAGCGGGCGCGGCGAGCGGCCGACATCCCCCAACCCAGCTGGTCCTTCACGGTAGCCGCGCGAGAAGCAACACGTGGAGGACGAGGAGAGGAACAAGTGGGAAAAATGACCAAGGATGGGCACTGAGATGATGATCACGAAGGGAACAGCAGGTGGAGGGTGAGGAGAACACGGGGAACGATTACGCAACCGAGAACGGACGTGGAGGTGACACGCAGGGATGGGACAGCACGTGGAGAAGGAGGAGGAGGAGGAGGAGGAGGACAAGGGGAAGGATAGACCGATGTCGGGCGATGAGCAGGAGGGAACAGCGCGTGGATGATGTGGAAGACAAGGGGGAGGATGGACCGAGAGCGCGAGCGGGGGTGATGAGCAGGGACAGAACACAGCAGATGGAGGATGAGGAGGACAAGGGGCAGGATGGACCGGGGATGTGCGCTGAGATGATGAGCAGGGGAAGGACCAGCAGAGGGAGCATGCGGAGGACAATGGCAAGTCGCAGAATGGACTGGGGATGTGCATGGAGGTGTTAAGCAGGGAAAGGACAGCAGACGAGGGATTGTGCGGGGGCGCGCCCTGGCTCCCCCGGGCCCAGACGCCCACTCAGAACCTCGGCCCCCAGACCCCTTCGGGAGAAGAAGGCAGGATCGGGACAATGAGCGGCAAGCAATATAGGGCGACGGGACCTATGCATAACCACTGCCCAGGCCTGGCCCAGCCTGGGCCAAGGAGCGATGCTTACGCCGTCCCTTCCCTGCTCAACACCTCCCTGCAGGCAGAGCAGCCACCAGCGTCCTTGCGAGCACAGCAAGTGTTTAGGCCGTCCCTTCCCTGCTCAACACCTCCCTGCAGGCAGAGCAGCCACCAGCGTCCCTGCGAGCACACCCGGCCTGCTGCCCTGCTGCGGTCTACGGCCCCTCCCGAGGGGAGGCCGACGGCCCGCCGGGCGCCCCTGCCAGTCGATCGAGCGACCGCTCCCCCCCGACGGCACCCACCCCGCACAGCGCAACTCTGCAGGTGGAACGACGAGTTCGGCCAAGGCCACGATTTGGACGCCCGAAATGGGCACGGAAACAATGGGCACAATGCCCAACAGCAAGTGTTGCCCCGAACCAGCGGCGGCCGCTGTTGGGCAGGCGGCCTTCTGTCTCAAATGGGCACAGGCCGCGGCGGCGCGGACAGCGAGTCCTGTTCAAAATGAGCAGGAACTGCTGTTCGGCATTGTACCCATTCTTTCCGTACCCATTTCGGGCGTCCAGACACGAGTCGCGAAGAACTCACCCTTGGTGCGAGTCCGGCCTCCGCCACCGCTACATGGACGGCGTCGCGTTTCGGCTGCGGGATTCCCGCGCGCGTTCGTGTGCAGAGCGCGAGGAGGCGGCCGAAAGCCAGGCTTGCGGCTGCGAGGCTTGCCTGGACACTGGGCCAACCAGCTGCCCTCAGACCCGCGCGGCTCTCGGGGGGCCTGTTCTGGGAGTCGGGCCAGACCTCCCCATGCAGGCTGCCGAAGAGGCGCTGGGGCAGGCTGGGCACGGGAGGCCCCCTGATAAGATGTACGGCTGTGGGGGGCGTGGGACTGCGGTGCAGTAGCCTATACAGAAGAAGAGCATGATACCGAAGAAGTACACACATCAAAGTTATTTTAGGGCTATAGGGCTATGGGGTTTTTTGGCAATAGGGCGATGGGGCTATGTGGCTATAGGGCTATGGAGCTTTAGGGCTATAGGGCCATAGGGCTACAGGTCCATAGGGCTATAGGGCTACAGAGACACAGGGCCATAGGGCTACAGAGCTATAGGGCTATAGGGCTATGGGGCTATGGGGCTCTGGGTCTATAGGGCTATAGGGCTATAGGGCCATAGGACTATGAGTATATAGGGCGATGGGGCTGTAGGGTTATTGGACCATAGGGCTATAGGGTTATAGGAATATAGGGCCATGGGGCTATAGGGCTACAGGGCTATAGGCATATACATATATATATAGAGAGAGAGAGAGCTATGGGGCTATAGGGCTATAGGGCTATAAGGCTACAAGGCTGTAGGGCTATAGCGCTATAGGGATATAGGACTATTGGCCTATAGGGCTATAGGGCTATTGGTCTATACTATAGGGCTGTAAGGCTATAGGGCTATGGGGCAACAGGGCTATAGGGCTATAGGGCTATAGGGCTATAGGGTTATAGGGCTCTGTGGCACCCGGGCACCCGGGCACCCAGGCACCTGGGCACCTGGGCACCTGGGCACCCTGGCACCAGGGCACCCTGGCACCCGGGCGGGCCGCGGAAATCAGCGGCAAAGATTACCTAACCATATGAATCCGCTAAGACCCCTACGGAGGCAAGCTCTAATTGGGGAAATTCGCGCAGACGTAAACTGTTGGCGCTCCGCACGGATTTCTTGAATCTGCGCTGGACCCCCCTCCCTGGCGCGCGGAGCGCGCCAGGGGCTGCGCGGGAGGCGCCGCCGGGGGGTCCAGCGCGGATCCAAGAAATCCGCGCGGAGCGCCACCAGTTTCTGTTTGTGGCGTTTTTATACTTCGATCGATACGACGTAACGACTGTGGGGGGCGTGGGACCGCGGCGCGATGGCCTGAGCCCCCCTTGCCTGCGGGCCGCAGCCCCCGACCCAGACCCGAGGGGCAACGAGCCCCTCGCCGTCCGCCCCAGGCCGCCTTCGCGCTGCCAGGCCGCGACACGCCGCAGGGAGGGGGCGGCGGAGGAGGAGGTCGACTTGGAGGCCTAGAAATGGGCACCAACACCAACACAAGGGGTTGCCTCCACAGGGGGAAGACGATCCTCGATTTCGGTGTTGGTGGCAGTATTTCGGCCACCTTGGAAGCCAGAATATTACCACCAGCACCGAGATCGGGATCTTCCTCCCTTGGTGGATGCACACCGCCGATATTGGTGTTGGTGTCAATCTCTAGGCCTGCGATCGACGAAGGCCGCGTGCGGCGCCGCAGCCGCCTCCAGCGCCGCGCCCCGCCCGCGCGGGGCCAGCCCTCGGGGGGGGGAGGGGCCGGCCTCGGCCTGCCGCCGCGCCGTCGGAGGCGGGCACCGCGCGCGCACCGCGAAGGTGCCCAGCCGCGCCTGCGGCGGCCACGAGGCCTGCCCACCCTGGTGGAGACGACACCACTCGGCGACTCCGACGGGCCATGGTTGGCAGGGGGCGTGGTTTGCAACCGGCACCCTGGGAAGCACCCTTGGGGGGCCGGCGGGGGCATCGACGGAGATCTCAGATCTCGGCCGCGACCCCAGGAGGCCCGACGAGGACAGTGCCGCGCCACGCAGGCCCTAACGGCGCCGGTCGCAAACCACACCCCGGCGTAAGCACACCCTTTGTAGTCGCCGAACTGAATACATCGTCGCGGAGATACCGGTGGAACACGGCAACGCCGCTTGCGCCGATTACGACCACCAGCAGGACCAGTGCGACCACCAGTAAGTGGTCGGCGACCGCCTGCGAGAGTTACCAGCAGGGCAGCGAGGGCCACAAGCTGAGCTACGAGTGCCACTAGCTGGGCTGCGAGTGCCGCTGCCTGAGTGAGCTACGAGGGCCGGCAGACCTTCGGGAGCTACCTGCAGGGCCACAGGCAGAGCTGCCAGATGTGTCAGCTGAGCGACGAGGGCCACCTGCGGATCTGCGAAGACCACGTCTTGAGGCACGAGGAACTGCGCCCCCCCCTGCCCCCACGAGCGCCTCAACCAGAGGTAGACTCGGGCAGAAGCCCCCAAAACAGAAAATCAAGATGGGTATGCCCCCACGCAGTGGTACCCCACACCTGGCCCTACGGGATACGTCGCCAGGGTCCCCCCCATCGTCGCCACGGCTGGACTCGACCGAACTACGAGGGCCACCAGCAGAGCCACAATGGCCACAAGCAGAGCTGCAAAAAAGCCCTAAGCTGAGCCTCGAGGACCACCACCAGACAACTGGAGGCGGAGCACTACGACCTGGCAGCCGACGCCTCCGAGTTGGACCATGGGGAGGCGAAGGAGCCAGACGAGGAAGAGACCAAGAAGCAGGCAGACGAGGAGGAGACCAAGAAAGCCGACGAGGCGGAGGACTACGAGAAACGCTACCTGAACGAAGAGGACGACACGGAGCTACGAGGGCCACCTGCTGAGCTACGAGAGCCACGAGGACCATCGGCTGGGCTGCCAGGACAACGAGCTGAGCTACGAGGGCCACAAGCGGAGTCACGAGGACCTCGAGCCGAGCTGAGAGGCCCACCGGCCGAGCTACGAGGGCCACAACCTGAGCTACGAGTGCCACGAACAGAGGCGCCGGAGCCTTTTGCAAAGCCACTGGGGCCACCAGAAGACCTGCGAGGCCCACGAGCTGACCCACGAGGAACACAGGCACAGCTACGAGAGCCACCACAAGAATTCCAAGGCACACCTGCTGAGCTACGAGAGCCACCAGCAGAGCCACGAGAGCCAGCAGCCGTGAGGCAGCGGGGCCGCGAGCTGAGCCACGAGAGGCGAGCCACAGCAGGGCCGCGAGGGCTGCCAGCTGAGCCGCGAGGGCCACGAGCTGAGCCACGAGGGCCACGAGCAGAGCTTCACGAGGCCCACCTGAGGAGCTGCGAGGGCCAGAGCCCGTGGCTCGAGGGCAGCACGCCGAGCTACTGCAGCCACCGGCAGAGCTACCGGGGCCGCCAGCGGAGCTCCGAGGACCGCAGGCTGAGGTGCGAGGACCGCAGCCACGGCTACGAGGGCCACCAGGGAGAGCTGCGAGGACCGCAAGCTCAAAATACGAGGGCCACAAGCAGGGCTACGAGGACCACCAGCTGAGCCACGAGGGCCGCAAGATCAGCTGCACGGGCCACAAGGAAGGCAACGAGGACCACCAGCT